GAAATGTCCCAATAAGGGATTGGACCTTGGTGGCTGGCGTTGGGGATGTAACTTGGTGGCTTTTCCGCAAGGCAGAGGGGATGGCCAAGAAGGGTAAGGCCTGCCAGAGCCGAGCCGTGCTCTCCGCACTCGAGCTGGCCAGAGTTCCTCCCCTTATTAGTGAAAGGATTCATTTTTCTTTTAGTTCTCCTGGTTCTGCAGCAGAGAAAGCTCCTGAGATTAACAGGCTCCTTTCTTACGTGTGACTAATCCTGGCTCCAGGCCTAGAAGCTGCCAATGGGAAGCCATTCTGTGCAGTCAGAAGTGAATCCTGAAGTTTGTAAGTTAGCATCAAAGGGAAAGAGTAAGAAAGCTTAGAGTTCTTACTCTGGACCCGGATTGGTCTTCACCCACTGTAGCCTAGACTGGCAGTGAACTGCAGCGGTCCTTGTGCCCCAGCCTTCTGAGAGCTTGTGTTACAGGAGCCATCCGCCCTACCCAGCGGGCTGGCATTATCTGTTTACTCATCTGCATACTTAATGTATAGTGATCTTTTGTCTACAAGTATGTCCAGTGCACCACCTGTGTGCCTAGTGTCCCTGGATGGTTGGGAGCTGCCGTGTGGGTGCTAAGAGTCAAGCAGCAGGTTCTCTTAGTCATCTTTCTCGCTAGGCTTTCCCTTCTAGTCTGTCATTGTGACGTCCAGAGACACAGATCTACTGTGCTGTCCTCAGCAGCCTGAAGAGCGCTCATGGGTGAGGAGGAGACCATACTAAGAGTGAGTGGCTTTGAGCTTCTCAGAAAGTAAGACGTACCCAAGTGTGGCAGTGCTGCAGGCTCTTGAGGGAGACTTGGACAGCTGTCAGCATTAGCCACATCTACCACTTAGCGCTCTGAGGTTGCTAAGGAACCTTTTGTTTCCCTTCTCTTTTATTTGATATGTGGGGCAGTTTGGTAATGCCTTGCGTGGAATTCTAACCTAACAAGGTGGAATCGGGAGCCACTAGGGTTGCACAAGGTGCTTAGTGCTGTCCTTTCCTCATAAGTGGGCTTTCTAGTCTTAGCAAACGTCAGGTTTGCAGCTGCTGCGGGGACCGGCCTCAGCAGCTGGCAATGATGCTGGAGCTTTGCTGCTCTGTCGGTGAGTGCCTTCAGCTGGACTTAAAGTGAGGAGCCCCTTTCCCTGCTCATGCCCCCCCAGATTATCCTGTTTTTCCATTTGCCTCATTTCTGTAACAGTATTTCTGTGAGTGGAATTAGGGAAGGGTTTTATAGACAGAGGAGAGCTGCAGTCGCAGAAACAAAGACCGAAAATGAATCCCAGTTCCTTGTGAGGTAGAAAATAGAAAAGGGATTGGTTAGCCTCAGGTCACTTCTGGTGCAAGGATTAAAGCGGCTGGAACCTGATTGTTGGTGGCAGGCTGCAGCTGGCCTGCTGGGGGAAGTTCCTGGAAGGCGGGATAAACAGCGCAGTTTCCGGCTGCTGTGTAGGTGCTGCCGTGGAGGGCTCTGTTTGCATCTTAGTCTGGTTTGTGTCACCACCTCGTCCAAAACAGAGGAGTCTGCTCAGCTGGGGTTATCTGGCTTCACAGTTTGGGCTTCAGCAGACGGTTTACTTTTGTTTGTGTTTATTTTTCTTTTGAAGACAACACACCTCACAGGTTTGTGTCAGTACACTTCCTGTGTGTCTTTCACCACCTCAGGTCTCACCCTTGCCCTCTTAACTCAGTATCATCCACAGCTGGCTTCCATATACCCCTTGATGACCACTCTTCTGGAGCTGAGCTGAGAACATTTCTGCCCGCACATTTAAATGTCCGTTTGGCTGGGTGTAAATTCTGGTTCTAAGTTAAACATATGCGCTTCCATGCTCCTTCTGCCTCCTGCTTATTCTTCTTTTCTCTTTGAAAGTGGTCAGTTTCTGACAACCTCCCTATTTGTTGTTTTCAGTATTCTCTCTGTTGTTTTTTGGTTTGGCTTGGTTTGGTTTCCTTGTTGAAATTCACCTCGCTGTGCTGCCCAGGCTGGCTTTGAGCTCCTGAGCAACAGATGGAACGTCAGGTACCTGCCGCTGGTGTCCTCCATCTACGGAGTAGGTGCTGCCTCTTAGCTCATGGTGAGAGGCACACTCACAGGACAGGGTGGGAGCCTCCAAATAGAGAACATGGAGCAACTTGAACTACTTGCCTATTTTATTTCGTTTAATATTTTAGACAGGCTTTCAGTCTGTAGCCCAGGCTGGCCTTGAACTTGAAATGATCTTCCTGTCTCAGCCTCCCAAGTCTTTGGTTTACAAACTTGAGTCACCACACCCGGCCAGTTTTATGGATTGTTTGAGTCTTTTTTTTTTTTTTTTAAGGTAGTCTTTCTATGTAGCCCTGGCTGTTCTGGAATTTGGTATGTAGACTGGACTGGCCTCATACTCACAGAGATCTGCCTGCCTCTGACTCCTAGGTGCTGCTAAGATTAAAGGTGTGAGCCACCATCCCCAGCATTGAGTCATTTTGTTTCTTCTTGGCCCTCATTATCCAGAAACACCCTCCCATAGAAGCAAATAGTACGAAAGGTGAGACCAGTGTTAGTCCTGGTGCGGCGAGCTGATGTTTTCTCTGGCTGTGACTTTATGCTACCCACTTTGGAAGTGCAAAGTGCTGCTTCTGCTCCCTGCCTGTGAGCAGCGCCAGCCCAGTTGGGTGGGAGTAGGCAGGAGGATTGGGCTGAGCTCCTCAGAAGCTTGTTTGTGGGCCTGACCTCTTTGGCTGCGTTCCTAGTTCCAGAGTGTCACTCTTGATCCTGGAATACAGTTTGTGACTCAGGCAGGATCCCTCTGGGTGTTCATCGAAACCCCCGGGGCTTCTCAGGGCCTCGAATTGGTGAAGCATGGCCTTGCTCTGCCTTCTTGGGGCAGGAGACGCTGCTCACCCCCATTAATACGTCCAGCCTCATGTTGCCACGGGGATCCTTGCAGTCACATCCTGTCAGGAGTGCATGAGTCAGCCAGTGCTAGAGAAAGCTTTGGCTTCCTCCAGTCTGAGGTGATTGCTTGCAATTTCCTGGCAGCCTTCAGTGCTGATCTCTGATCCTCACCCAAGGGAGACGGCCCCCGCTGTCCCCATCTGTTGTGTGAATGTGCAGCCCAACAGGTGACTCATCCTTTGCCAAGGTTACAGCACTTCCAGTTTCTCTTGTCTTTGTTCTTTAGAATTATCAAGTGGTTGTTTTTAATATTTTATCTGGAATTTATTATTGCTTTTGACAAAAGAATTAGTTGTATACAAATGATCCTGTCATTACTGGGCTCCAGACATCCCAGTCAGTAAATGCATGATGGATGAGAAGATAAAACAATGAGGAGTGCAGCTCACTAGGGCTCAGACCCCAAAATGTGTCTCCTGTTGTTGGTCATGCTCGCCCAGCAGGTGAGAGACGCTGTTGGAGCTGTGTGCATCTGTGCTGACTCTATAGATGGGGCTGAGCAGAGCTCTTGAAAGGTCGGCAGAAGGATCTAGCTACTCAGGGCCCAGCCACCAGCCTCACTAGATTCAGCATTCTAGCTCTGTATACTCAAAGGGGCTGTCCCTACTGTCAGAGAAATGTGACCTCAGGTTTATTTGTTTTACTCTTTGATTCGTAAAACACTGACTGCAACAGCTCTACCAAAACACAAATTTTCTCCCACTGCTTGAGTTGAGCCTTGTTTCTTGATGCAGAGAGCATGGCTGGGCAGCTGTGTTCCGTATCCTGGGCAGGAGCCATTTACTTGGCACATACGGTCTGTCTGTTATCTTGTCTTTCTGCTTCCGTATCTTTCTGTTCTTCAGTCCTCCCACCCATAAAGGGTTTTCTTCCTTGTCTCCCAGTTGTGGCCTGATCTTTGTACTGAGCACTTTGAATATTGGTGATATGTGTACATACATTTCACCAATGACCTGGTGAGCCCGTGCAAGGTGCAGACATCATAAATGGAAAGTAGGCACAAACTACAGACTGTCTTAACTCCTGGGTGAGAGAAGTAGAGAGTGTCGTTAGTTTGTACCCGTGATGCACAAGCACGCAAGCACGTGGGCCGTTGTCAGTGTGTCAGAGCTGGAAGCAGGTCTGCAGAATGCACTGGAAATTCTCAGTGGAGTCATCCTGGATTGGGGCCGTCTCGTGTGCTGTGTTCCTGCTGCAGCTTTCGAAGCTCTTAGTCTTAAACAGACAGTTCAGGCGTTTTACGTTTCTCCCACTGAAAACACTCAGCTGCCTTTTTCTCCAGTGCTGTCATTGATCCTGTTCCGCTGTGTGCCAATAGCTCTAACAGGAGGAAAAAAGATGGTTTCTTGCCTTCTGTCAGCACACACACATTAGACAAAGCCCTGCCACTTCCATCCTTGCTTTCTGAGGGTGGATTCGTCCACAGATGAGAAGTCTATCTCAGCTCTGGCTCCTTTGACTTTTTGATGATTAAAATGGTATAATTGAATCCATGTTCCTTTGTCTTCTGTAAGCGGCATTTTTGTGCCTTGAAGCCATGCATCCACTCCCCAGCACCACTCCCCGCCCCCTCACTCTTTTAAGAAGGAAGAAAGGCAGGGTAGGGGAGTCCAGTCCACTCCAGCAGTTCTTAGCTGAAGCCTTGCTCTGAGTCTCAGCTCCTCGCTACTCTCCAGGGACAAGGCTCCATTGACTGCTGCCGCCCCTTTCTCCTGCTGCTGGCTCCAGATGCTGTTCTGTAGTCCTACAGCCTTGGCAGACTGGCAGTGAGGCTTGCTTCTTTTGACGAGGTTTCTCTGTGTAGCTCTGGTTGTCCTGTAACTCGCTCTGTAAACCAGACTGGCCTCGAACTCACAGAGATCCACCTTCCTCTGCTTCCTGATTGTTAGGATTTAAGGTATGAGCCACCACAGCCAGCTGAGCCTTGCTTCTTGAACCTAAAAGATGCCTGATCTGTATTTGTTTAAACGTGTCTTTTTACCACTGGACGGTTCTCATATTCAGGGTTCCATTCATGCCTCTCATGTCCTCTCCTTTCTCTGCAGGTTTTGCATGCAGAAGTGTGTTAGTCTGGTGCCTGGAGTCACACTGGATTTGATAGAAAAGTAAGTAAGATTTGAGCCCTGTTGGCTTCCTGGGTGTGCGTGTCCTCCTCTTCCTGCTCACGTCCTCAGAAGTCCTCACGTCAGTGTGGGGTTCTCCCCTTTCATGTGGATCTGTCCTTTGTTCTCTGATTGAAGCTCTGCTCATGATAGTTACACAAGGGCTTGGTGTTAGAGGTACTAGCATGGGGCCATATTAAAAGAAATAATAAGAAGCTCTCTTCCTGTGAATGTTTAAAATACTGCAGACTGTGATGATCCAGAACACGGGGCTGCCCACACGGTCTGTCTGAAACAGCTAGACTCTAGTTCCACTCTGACCTCATTGCCTTTAACTTCAGGTTGGTCTTCAGTGTGCTGTGTCTTACCTCCAGCCAAGTTACTGTCATGGGCAAACCCATTCCAGAAACAGCCAGGGTGTTCACAGTGTGAGAACCTGTATTCTCTCTTACTCGAAGCCTGCTAAGGTCACTGAGAAGTGTGTCTCTCCTGTTCTGATTTCTCTGCTTCTGAAATAGTAGTATCTTATGCCTCTAACCTTGGCCTGTGTTTGACTCCTCTCTACTCATCCTGACCTCTATCAGAAGTATGAAAAACTTGGGGAGGTTTCGGAACCCCACATTTTCCAAAATTACTAGATGAATGTTTTTCCAAGTTGGGATACACAGGAGTATGTGTGTGAAAATATCCAAGGCCCGAATTTATTAAGGTGGGTGAGAAAAGCAGGTGTCCTCCGTGAGTCTCCCTAGGAAAGTGCTTTCCATGCACGTGAGGGCACCCACTCCAGACCCTGTGCCCAGGGCAGAGCTGCATGCACACCGCTGGCACCCACCTCCCAAGCCATAGTAAGTGAAAACTGCAGTCGGATTTGTTTTCCATGTGTTGTAAACACTGGGCACAAAGGCATGAAGAAGCATGAGACTTGGGGTTGAGGGTGTGGATTGAGACACAGTCAGTGGACACAAGGCCCTGGGCTTGATTCCCCAGCATTGTCCAGTAAAGAAGAAAAACAGCTACTTAAGCTGAACAGCAAAGTTGTAAGCAGAGACTGCTCACTTGTCTCCCAGCCACCCAGACCCGAATAATCACACAGAAACTGTATTAATTAGAACACTGTTTGGCCAATGGCTCAAGCATATTCCTGGCTGACTCTTACATCTTTTTTTTTTTTTTTTTTTTTTTTTTTTTTTTTTTTGATTTTTCGAGACAGGGTTTCTCCGTAGCTTTTTGGTTCCTGTCCTGGAACTAGCTCTTGTAGACCAGGTTGGCCTCGAACTCACAGAGATCCGCCTGCCTCTGCCTCCCGAGTGCTGGGATGAAAGGCATGCGCCACCACCGCCCGGCTCTAACTCTTACATCTTAAATTAACCCATTTCTATTAATCTGTGTATTGCCACGAGTCCGTGACTTACGTGTAAGGTTCCAGTGTCTCTCTCTCCCCTTTGGCAACTACATGGCATCTCTCTGACTCCACCTACTCTCTCTATATATATATCTCTTCCAGCCTGGCTATATTCTCCCCTGCCATGGGCCAAAGCAGCTTCTTTATTAACCAATGGTAATAAAACATATTCAGAGCATACAGAGGGAATCCCACATACAAGGGTAACTTGAAACAGGAGAAGGAGCAACAACACCATGGAATTCTGACTCTTTCCATATATAAAAATTACAGAGTGTACATATTTTTATTGCAAAAATGCAGCATGTAAAATACATCTATACTGTGTGGGTGCTATGAGCAAACCTCAGGTCCTCTGGAAGAGCAGCAAGTGCTTTTAACCACTGAGCCATCTCTCCAGCACTTGGGTTGTTTGTTTGTTTGTTTTTCACACAGGGTTTCTCTGTGTAGCTTTGGAGCCTGTCCTGGAACTCGCTCTGTAGACCAACTGTGCTATGATTAAAGTGACTAAAGGCGTGCGCTGTCACCACCTGGCCATGCGTTTGTTTGTTGAGTTAAGGAAGATGTAGTGGTTGTCACTAGGGTGGGCATGTTTCTGAATGAGTCTGGGAGGAGCCCTGACGAGAGCATTGGACTCCACCATACAGTGCTGAGAGCTTGCGAATGCAGCTCTAGTTGTGAAGTTTAAAAGCAGAAGTGCTGGTTTCCGAGAAGACTGCGTGGCAGAGAACGTGCTGAGGTCGATTTAACAGTCGTGGTGTTGCAGTCGTCACTGTGCACAACACCTGTGGTTAAGGTGTTGGCGCGGGTCTGAGTCACAAGGAGCGGTCTATTTCGGTTGAAACTGACACAAAGCAACATTTGCCGTTCGAAACCATATTGCTGCTCTCCCTTGTAGCTTGACAAGGGTTAAATTGAGTGTGAATGGGTAAATCATATTTTTATTTTTATGCCAGGACAAATCACAAACTTGAGAATTACACCACCCTCAGAGAAAACCTGATGCAGAGCCCCAGAGCTCACCGGCTACACTAGATCGAGTTCTGAGGTGGAATGTTTTTCACCTTTGCTTGAGGGATGCTGCCATGTAAAAGAAAGTTTTAGACTTTTTTTCTATTATGTTACAGTATTGTAAGAAGGTTTGATTTCAGACAAACTGAAACACGTTGCTCTAAGTTGCTCTGTGTCCTGCACAGCCCTCATTTCATCCTCTCTGTTATTGTCTTCATGTCTCCTCAGAACTTTCCCAGTTTCTGTGCAGGGCCTGTACTTGTGTGGCGCTCTACCTCTTGCCAGCCCATCCCACTTGCTGGTCCACTTGATGCCAGCGCTGAGCTTATGCACCTCTTGAGTTTTCACAGAACTCAAGCTTTGGCCTAGCTCTCCATAGTCACAGCCTCTGACTGCCCTACCACCGTGAAGAGGCAGCAAAACAGAGCTGTCTGCAACCAGGCAGCAGGGTGTAGAGCAGAACCAGGCTTTTGTTTTTGTCCCTATGTTTTAATTCGTGTACAGGCTCACATCCTGTATTAGTCCGTGTTGAAGTTTCTAACATATAGTACTATGGAGACTGGAGGCACAGCTCGGTGGTCAGGCACTTCCCTAGCACGGCCAAGGCCATGGGCTCTACAACACTACAACACACACTCATACACGCACACTGCCGCAGAGCAGAACATAGAAAGAAAAGAGGTTTTGTTAGCTTACCATTCTGGAGATACGAGGTCATGGAGCCACATCTGCTGAGGTCTTTCTAGAAGAGTCCTAGGCTGTGCAGTGTATGACGTGATAAGACGGGGTGAGTATGTGTATGGTGACGGTTTGTGTCTTCTTCCCCTGGCCTCATCTAATCCTTAACCTCTCCAGCGGCCCCCTGGTCTGCACAGGGGCTGAGGTCAATCCTTGAAACTTTGGAGGATGCACTCTCGGCATATCCAAGCCAAGAACATCCTTTCTTCAGGATGTGAAAGATGAGCAGAGATGTAGCACAGAGCGGAAGGACACGAGACCATGGGACCCTAGGACATGCTGTCAGTCGGAACTGCTCTCCCGCTGCTGTTGCTGCTTGGACACGGTGCTCTAAGAAGCGAGTGTCTTCATGGTTATCCTGGAGGCCACAGCCTGCTGGTTTCCCATGGGTCATGGCCCCTTGCTTTATCATGCATCTGTGCACAAGCTGTACAGGCAGAATGTTGGGACCTGTTGTCTGAGGATGTCTCCAATAGTGTACTTGTCACCAGCATGCCACTGGGCAGCATGCCCTGGCACAGGAGCCCAGGGACACTTTTCTGGAAATAGGGCCCAAGAGCCAAGATCCTTTATCCCAATGCTGAGAGCCTGAGCAGGCTCCACTGTGCTTGGTCCACTCCCCAGCTCCAGCTCCACAGGAAGGACAGTCTCTGCAGGCCAGGCTTGCACGCGCCACGACACAGTGCCAGCTGAGCCAGGTTGGCTCCAGAGCCCCAGGACGTTTAAAAAGCCCTTTAATATTCTGTCTCTTTAAAACTTTGTTGAAATGAAGTGATCATAGAATAGTTACTTGCTTCTCTGTTGCATGGTCAGCACTTAAATTGGTTCAGGTCTGTTTCGAAGTGCCCAGGACTCCTGTCGCCTCAGAGCCCTCTCATCCAGGTACGAGCAGCAGATGGGCTTGTGCGGTGCATCCAGAGATGCGTGTTCACCCCAGGTACCTTTCTGGCTCACTCAAAAACCCCAAGGAGCAAAAGCCCAGCCTCCCCACCCAGGCAGCGTGAGTGTTCTCTTAAAAAATATATAAATAGTTGATGGTTTGAGAATCATGGAATATTTCAAAATATATAAATTTTTGAGTAGTTGAGAGATTTTAATAAAAAACATTTGCTCGGTATTGACAAAGCTGTCAGGGGAGTTGCTGGGTGAGGTTTGTGTAATTGGCTGGGTGACATACATGGTCACGTGCCCCTGCTCACTGTGGCTAGTCTTTCTCAGAGAGTTGGAGCTCTGAGTTTTCCAAATCTCGTTTGCATTAAAGCTGACAGGGAATCCATCATCATCTTGACTCGGGCTGATGAACTCCTCCTGGGTGGTTATGGTACAGTGTCTACCCCTTGTACTTTCTCTAGGTACAGTGTGGCCTTGGTGCAGAGCTTGGAAGCCCCCCCCCCCCCCCCGTGGGTTCTTGTGTGTGCTGACCTTGGATCCGAATTAATTGGTGGGCTAGACTGTTCCAGTTCCAGTTATCAGAGCAAACAGGGGTGGCTGTCTGTTCGGTTCCTTGGTCCCAGTCCATTTTCTCCGTAGCTGCTCATTATTCTGAACAAAATCCTGAGCTCTGTGGATTAGTGAGAGACTGGAGAGGAAAGCCCTGAGCGTCAGTGCTCTAAGGAAACCCCAGTGAGCCCTAGCGAGGCAGGGTGCGAGGATCTGGAGTTACGAGAGCTTACCGGGATAAACAGATGCTAGCAGGCTTGTAGCTGCACATAAGCACAACATTAGCGGGGCTTCAGTTAGAGCTGCAATTGATTGTTCTGGCTTTTCAAGGATTCTAAACATTTGTTTGTATACAGTCTTCTTCTTTCATTTGGCTCACCATGTGGAAGCCTTTCTGCTAATCACACCTGTG